TTAACTCGAAGTGATCTTTCCCATCACAAGGTGGTAGAGAAGCAAAATACATACCTTATACAGATTTATTTTTAACTCCGTCTGATATGTGTTCCGGTTAACTGAATGGTAAAATAACGAATATTTGTACGTAATTCCACAGAAGCTGCAGATCTCTCCCTGAGTGCACACAATATAGATATATCGATGCACACAAGCATTTGTTGTTTAAGCAAATGATATTTAATAACCAGAAATAATATTAAATAGAAATTTAAATAATATTAAAGAAACCATTTCTGGTTTATATAAACCAGAAATTTAGTATGTTACTATTTCTGGTTTGAATCAATCTCAATCAATTCATTGAATGAAATGAGATTAAGTCCAGGGAAATACAGGCAAGAAGTACTTACACTGCCTGAATGGAGTTTTTGGTTCCCCAGCGGTTTTTTTTCTATTGGTATCTGTCAATCTATGTAACTGTCAACTTATATATAATAACACATATATAGCTAGATATATATAACATATAACACATAATATATAAAAATACTATCTAGAATATATTTAGATAATATACTTAAATGTAATATATAATAGGTAAGTTATAACTATATTGAATATATTTTATGTGATATATTTAACTGTAATGTAAAACACATAAGTTATAACTATATAGAATAATATATAGTTATAAAATTGTTGATGTAAATAACACTCAATAAATATGATACAGTATTTCTGTGTTTAATGTTTCTGTAAATCGTGTGCTCCATGAAGATGTTTCTGTTTTCATTTAGAAATTCCCATTTAAGAGGAATCGCCTGGACGTCTGGAAGTCCTGCTGTGAATCCGTGTTTCCTGCCAGAATGAGATATTTAATGAGCAGCTACTGTGCACAGAGCCGCTCTGGCCAAGGAGAAATCGGAAGGAATTTAAGCAGCACCCATGGATATATTTATCTCTTTTCCTTGGCATGGATTTCAAGTTTAATCATTTAACAGAGATATTACTCATCCTTTCCCCATCAGCATGCCCAGCTCGGCTGTGTTTACGATTCTGCAAAATTAATTTTTATATATTTAGGAGCTTTAAAATCAGATATAACTTCTGATCTCATGTCACAGGCTTGTTTTCAGCTGAATGTTACCAGCTGGAAATGATTTATATTCACTTGTTTGTATTATAAAAACACAGGCCCTCTACATAAAAGAATGAAGAAAAATTGGGCACTGACAATATTAGATCAGCAACGGAGAAATTCTGACAATTATTTTTTAATCCATTTACAGAAGTTTTACAAAACCATGAAGACTATTTACAGCAATGCCTAAAATACCTGTATTTCTGCTCTGCTCTCTCTCCCTTGAATATAGTAATGCTTTGAAGATACGCATGCACTGTTTATTGAAAGAATAACTGTAGCATTTTTATATAATATAGAATCTCTATTCTATAGATCTCTATTCTATAGATCTATATATACTATAGATATATAGATCTGTATCTATTCTATAGATAGATTCTATACAGAAATTACTGCATATATAGACTCTATAATATATATAGCATTTAAATATAGAATATGAAAGAATATGAAATAGTAGAAATAAAGGATTATTGCCACATGTGATTTGGGACCTCTTTTATAGTTCCTTGCCCGGTGATTAGCGAGCGGGGGCACAACACAGGTAACGCTTTGTACTTAAACCCACAGATGTGCAAAAACCTCCTTGTCCTATTCAGAAGCCTTTTGTCATTGTCCAATTTTTTGCGGCGTCTCCTTTTGTCATTTAAGACGATAACATTTATAAATGGTGACCTGAGGGTTTGGGGTTATATATAAAATCCCTTTTTTTTCCCCTGCTAGGTATGGATGCTCCTTTGTGCGGCGGGGGGGGTGGCAGCTGGAGATGGGAGAAGGCTGGGCCATCCTCGGAAGGGAATGAGGAATAAACTGGGGGCTCTCACTTGCTGGGACTTCGCGGCAGGGGGGACACTGGGGTGGGTGATGCCGCTTCCCGTATTTCTCCCTCCGTGGATCCGGGCACTGTGCCATTAGCAGAGATGCACAGGAATATTTTCCCATTAGTTTCTGTGCCAGAAGCATCTCTTTTTCCCTCACGTGCTGCAACACGGCACCCCTGGCCCCTGGCTGGTATTGTCACCGTGCTCTCAGCACAGTGAAGAGGTTGGAAAGAAAATCAAAGAAGCTGCAGATATCAGGGAACCGGGCTCATTTTCTCAGACATAAAAACATCCTTTTTATTTGTGCTTCAATTTTTTTTCTTAGATACACTTTGGGAAAAAAGTCTATGAAACGGGAGGTGATTTTTTTTTCCACTGGCTCTTGCGTTTGTGAAACTGCCACGAAAATCTCTCTGAGGTTGTCTTAAAAAACCCCACTGATGATGACAGGAATTACTACATTTTTTTCATTTTTTCCGTTGCTAAACTGCCCAAACCTCTGTTTCAACAGGACACGTGGCATCCTCGGCTGCTGCTGTCCTCTCCTGTTTCCACTTTATGCAGCTGATTGGGTTGGGGTTTGTGGTGGGGTTTTTTGGTTTTTTTTTTGTTGTTGTTGTTGATTTATTTCAATTTACAAAGGAACAACAAAGCCAGATTGGGGAAGTCAGGAGCTGAGCAAATCCTTTGCTGCCTGTTACAGTTGTGGGTAAATCCCCATCCTTTGAAGGGGTATTATTAGAGGAGGGATAATCCGGCCGCTGAAGTCTTATCAAGGCAAGATGGTGCCGTTCCAGGGGGGTTTCAGTGAGGGTCAGACGCTGCCAGGACGCGGTGAGCATGGGATGGGGGGAGGAGGAGCGGACTGGGCAGGGTTATCCCTGAGGCTGCTCACCCTCCTGTGGGAGAGGATTGGGCTGTCGCTGCTTGGTTTTCGCTGCCCAGAGCCAGCCCTGGCTGCGTGGCCGTGGGAAGCCATCTCCTGTGCTGGGCGAGAGGTGGGAGAGGTGAAGCAGGGATGGACGGTGAGGTCAGGATGCCTCAGGCAAGGGAAACGGAGGTGGGATTTCAAAAGCAGCTGCAGGCAGAGGGAAAACCCCTGTTTTTGAAAGAATAAACCTTTGGGAAGTTTCAGAGGGGTTTCCTTATAGCTGTCCTGTAAAACATACATACCATAAAAATCCTCTGCTCCTGGGGTGAAGCTCTGCACACTGAATGCTTGCAGGGCAGAAAAACGATGGGTTTAGTTCATCTGAGCTTTCACAGAAGCTGAAATGTGCTTGTGTATGATGCGCCGGAGGCAGCGATGCTCGGGGAGCCCTCCCTGCAGCATCCCTGCTGGGACGGGGTGTGGGGTCGGTGTCCCTTGCGGCCATCAGCTGGGTGGCCTGAGACCCTGGGTGACCACGGCAGCCTGGGAAAGCCGGCTCGGCGTGGTCTTCTCGCAGCCCTCTTAACGCATCGT